CTATTAGTATTTTCGTTACGTCCTGGATCCTGTGTTACAGACCGATATCAACGAGCTGTATTATTATTTTGCATATTGTCTCCAGGATTCGGATTTTGGACTGTTTTTGAAGGAAAATTTCATCCGATCATTTCCCAGGTACGTATTTCTGCCGTTCGGCCTGTATCGAACGCGCCTGACGGAAGCAACCCCTTTTGGGTCGTAGCGGTTTCATTTTCAGTGCTATTTTCATTCAGCATAGCATATGGGTTCATTCACCTGGTTGCTGACCTCTCAAAGCCGCTGTTTCCGAAGGAAGCATCCTGTTTTGGCACAAGGAGTTCGTTATCATGGATATCTGCTTACGTCCCTCCTTTGCCACGAGGTTTAGACCGGCGTGTTTTTCTGTTAGATGGGGGTTGATTTAAGTATGTAGATAGGGTGTGCCCGTTACATTTGGTAGGCACATGAAGCATTTTTTCTCTTCAAGTGGTGTGTGGACTGACGAAGTGCTGTACTGGAGTGAGTTCTGCACTTGCCACCTGAATGTACTGCTTAGCCGGTGTCATCTTACCTAGTCTTTCACACTTGGCAGCACCCGGTGTGAGGCTTTCAGAGTCAGGTGTCGTGCCATTACAATATTGGACAGGAACAATATCTTTAGATATGTCCCTTACTGGCCCCGCAGTGAATACATTGTTGTTGAGTACCAACTAGCGTTTTGCACTTTTCCTGTGAATTGGGGTTCGATCCTGAGCTATTTCAATATTTCCAAACATACTTTTGAATTTCATAGTATTGCTCACCGAGACAAACTGCCCGCAATCGAGGGATAATTCAAACTGGAATAGGAACTGTGAACCGGCTTTTCGAGCCCTCTTACAACCACGAGTAACTGGTGACGCACTACAGAAGTCTGAGGTAATAGCTTTAGCCTTCCTTGATGATATACTTTCCGTGACGCTGTAGACGGTGGTTTTCTGTTGTGATGCAACACGCTGTACAGCCTCTGAGGCTATGCAACCGATTAGAGTTTCAGCCTTTCGTGCTCCTTGGGTGTCCATACCTTTGTGCGGACCAAAAACATAAGTAATGGATGTAAGATGCTCGTGTGCAGTATGGACCTCAGTTAGCACCGAGTTAAGCTCCATAACTTTAACAGGATTGAAACTTGCTAAGTTACTGAGGTCCGTAGAAACTTCAGGTGTGCCTACAAAAGGCGTTTGCGACCTGTTCGGTGGGGTTTGGGACCGTGTTTCGTTAGATCTGTGAAGCGTTTGTTTTTCTTGTCCAAGCCGCCTGTTCGGGATCTTTTAGCCACACTGTGTTCCGTTATTTCGCTGGTGTTTGGATACTCTGGGGTGTGTATCTCACCAGGGAAATGTTCCTCCAGTATAGTAACTGACAAGAGGTAGTCAAGGGACCACAGTCAACTAGTTTTTTACACAGACAAGTGGTTACTGAGATCGATATCTAATAATTGGTCTCAGGAAACCGAGGATTCGATAACATAGAGGAAAAGCCTTTTGTTAGGCAGTTGGGCACCTTTGGTGTTCAAATGTCTAAAATCAAACGATTGGCAAAGTTGAGGTTATAATTTGCCAGATCAAGTGTAAATGCGAAGCAAGTTATGAGTTCAGGCGCCTACGATGAATCAGTTGAGGATGAAGTCCATCGCTCACAGGCAAATCCATCATTTTGAGCTGCTACTTCAACCGGTTCTCCAAGCGTAGTAGGTCTATTTCAAGATTAAACCGTCAACAGTTTGGTACAACCAGTGACGTGGTGTAGCAGTGTGCCAGCAATAATCATTATTATTATATTTGTTATTGAATATACGAGCGCACGACGTTTAAAGGTGTGAATAAATCTCTATATAAATTGCACGCATCTTCGTGAAACGTAATCTCAATCCCAACCTACTGTCGCTAGGAGATATAAGTGCTGCATTCTCGTATAATGAAATATCCCAGCAGAATAAGTATGCAGAAAATTTACAAGTTGAACAAGTGGAAGTATTGTCTTCACGTTAACAAAAGATCAGGTTTGTATATGGACACTACATGTATTACCTGGAGAAAAATAAAGCTTGAAGCTAATACTCCCATTGTAACAGTCTGTACTTTTTGCTTGAGATAATGATGAAAGGATTATGCAGGAATGTATGCATGAATTGTTTACATATTCACTTCATTGATGATTCCAGACCTGTACAGTTCATACATGTTAATACCATTCCACATCAGAGATTCATAATCTTGATGAATATTACGACTGGCAGCCAAATGTCTTCTCTTTTCTGACTCCGGCATCCGGAAGAAATAAACTCGTTGAAATACGCTAAGCGGACTTCCAGGACATCTTGTCCGCCATTTACACTGCTGGTGACTTCCTTGTGGTCGGTAAGTGTTGGCTTCCCCGGTCACTTTTATAATGAGTAGGTCCTAGATTTGGGTAATTATGAAGTTTTGGTCCAGTGAACATCTTTATTTCTGCTTGTTGTAGTTAGGTATTGTGAAGGGAGTAGGGCTGGTTATCCCCCACCCCCACCCATGAAGGGTAGTTTAAGCCAATGTCCGTTCCTTAAATAATCATTTCTCGATGACAACTAAGCCAACGCTTAGAACTAAATTGCTTTTCTAAGGCGAGGTAAGACGGAAAAAATGCATCAGGTAGAAAAAGAAGCAAGAATTGCAATAAGGAGTGTCTTTCCTTTGTTCATGTTTCTCCCTGCTTATTTTTCTTTGCTACGGCGTTCATTATGTGTGATTTCTCTGTTGAATACTTAGGAATATAAATTTCATGCAGTCGTGTAGTGTAGAAGTCCTGTTTTTGATTACTATGTTGGGTAGAGCAGAACACGCCGTTAGTTTGAGGTGATAACTTACGGAAGTCCCGCCAACGCTTCGTATGAAAGGCCAGTGTAGGTGTGGTGGGTGTCTTACTATGCATAAGAAGGTCCCGGTATACGAAATATCATAAGTGATACTGCTGGTGTATTTGGTAAGCCGGAAAAGTTGCCGGATGATAAGAAGTTAACTAGTAACCGACCAAATTCAGAAGTTGATTTGGAGGCCTTCGTTTTAGCAGGAAGTCTATTCCACAGCCAAAAGAATTTGAATGGTTTCATTGCGACGCTGTGAGGGTGGTTGCGCAGATCGTACCGATAGTTGTGTTCTTAGCGAAACTCACCACTCGCTGTAAATGTGAATTTATGTAACACATTAAAGAAGGGTGTCAAGTTAATTTTGAGTCATCTCATCCAAAGTGTTTCTAAAATTAGGGTTCCTGTTTCCAATCGTGTCCTAGTAATCTAGCAGTAAACACCCTCCATTTTTGTTTGTCTTTAATGCAGATACCACTCGATATAAATGGACAGTATTCTGATAGTGGGAGTTCGCAAGTTTTATAGAGCAGTAACTTGACCTCTTTGAGGTGAAAGGTACGAACTATGCGACCCACTAGGTTCCTAGATCTACGAATCTGTGATGTCACCTGTTCAGAAAATGTGAGGTCCCTTGAATATTTTAGTCCAAGGTCACATACACTTTTAAGAATAGGTAGTTTCGTAGCTTGTATCATCTATTTATGCAAATAGTGTGCTCTCTTGCGCATTGTTTTTCGCCTTATCTCTCCTAGAACATGTTGCGTAATTGTTGCTGTTATTATTAGTCTTCCTTTAGGACAGTTTACGCTAGCGGATTTTCGCGCAGACCCTCCATTACTTCAGACTGACACTCCGTACTCTACACAAAATGAGTTGCGAATTCTTTTGTGCATCAACACATCTGGATTTCTTGTGAAATGAGGGCCACGACACCAGGTCAATTGTCTTCTCTTGGTCAACCTCTCTGTCTGATGTCTCGTCCCAAATGTCATTGGCACTGCTCGGCAGCTTATCTTAAGTGTTATGTTTCAAACGACCTTTCAGGTTATCTCTTTCAACAAAAGTCCTTTTGCCGTTGATAGGCTGCAGTCGTTTTGTTGACACAGGTTTGATAGACATTCCCCAATTTTCCGGGAATACTCCAAGCATGGTACGATGTACTGAGTTCATCCACTGGCGGTCTGTGTCTTAATTAACAGCGGTTACGGCAGCTGATTGGTAGTTCGACACAGTTGCTTTCTATGACCAACGCACTGAGTTTAGGGACTAAGTTCTATGGCGGTATTTTTTCATGTGGTCCCGGAGGAACGTTACTTCCGATTCCTTCATTCTTTCTAGCAGACTGAAGCCATTAGATCTCTTTGATACTCCTGTGCTGTACCGCATGTAGCCTAAGGGCAGCTGGGTGTTCTAAATAAGGTTTTCGCAGTAACCCCGTCAACTGCTTCGTTATTTTTTTCCCGATCCGTTCTAGCATGGTTATTCCCTCTTCAGGTATGGAAATATAACCAGCTAGTTTTCTCTAGATTAGGACCAGCATGTAGTCTGTATACTAGGGTAAAAAGGGCTACAGTAACACTTCCTAGAGTTCGAGGGGGAAATCTAGGGTTCCATATGCCCTATTGGCTGCAGGAAGGCTAATGCACTCGATCTACATCTCCTAGAATATAGAAGTCTAAGGGAGGACTTGACAGCGGCCAATTTGGTCTCAAACACCCTCAAACACTCAATCTGTCACCAACAGAATCATAGTCCTAACAACAGAAGACATGCACGAACGAAGACTAAAACAGCAGGTTAAATATCGGATACAGCTCACACTCCTTATGAGTCGTTGTGGCCTGGAGTTTTCTTCTTGCAGGAGCGACTCGGAGCAGTTCATCTGATATCTTAGAGCACTGAATTGATACTTACTTGAGATTTGGTTGGGATATGCTGAGGATTAACTGAGTTTTCAACTCTTAAGTACCACTTTAGCTCTCTTTTCAATTTTACGCAGTTCGATAACCACAGAAAGTGGTGATCCAAGGATTATAAATGTGAAAGTCACTTAAGAGAAAGCTTCTTCCGTTTTGACAATGGACATGTGTCATATTTAAAGCATTTGTAGTTTGGTACCATCCATTTTCAAGGTTATCTTTTGAGCGCTAACGTTGTCAACGTCATACTACATAGGAAGTGTCGTTTGTTTCTAATTGTCTATTTCTCACCACTACGAGCAAATTCATAAGATTTGTTTTGTTGGACTTGGTCAGTTTTCTCTCTTCTGGCTGCCTACTATGCGGATGTACATTTTTGGATCAGTTATCATATCCTTATTATTTTGTTTCTGTGAAGGTATTGTGTATTTCAGGCATTCTTTTCTTTTTAGCTAAGTCAGATCGTATTCTACTTAGGAACATAGACGCTTTAACGTTTTACCATGATAGGCTTGCCCAGTCAAGAAAGGGTTATCGGCTTCCCCAGGTAATCATTGATATTTAACGATAATAATAATAATGGTAATAATAAACAATAATAATAGTAATAATTCACTTTATTATTATGTAGCTAAAATGTATTGGTGGGAGTGGGTTTAAGTATCCGGAATATTACCCCAAGACTGTTCAGTGTTATAACCGTGGCTTTGATGGTCGTGAAGTCCAATGGGAATGTAAGGCGGAACTTGATAAAGCAGTATCTTTTGGACCAGTCAATGTCAACTGCGAAGGATATGATTATCCGGAGGATGACTATATTCTCCATGGTTCTTGTGCTGTGAGTTTCCGAAGTTTTGTAATATAACCGGTTACATCCCATTTTAGCCTATTTTATATAGTCAGTCATGTAACGTTGGCATATCAGTCATCAATCCGGAAACACTTTCATTGATGATCTTATTAGTCAGGCTATTAGAAATAAAAGCATGAAACAGTAAGTATTGGAGTAAGCAGAAGAAAAGTACAGTTTTCTTTGCTTGGCTGCTGAATTTACTCTTCTCAAATACTGAAAGTACTTAAGTAGTAGCTGTTTACTCAGTTACTCGTTCGTAAAATTTATTGCTTTTAGGAATTATCAAAAATGGATGCACACAGTAAACGGCACAACCTACCTTGCTTGTAATCAGTTAAGATTTAGGAGTCTAAATCTTTGCATGCGTGTGGGTCCCCATGATCCTGTGGATTTCACGATACTATAAATGAACATTACAGATATATGCGTATTGGTGTCCGAAACATACAGAGGTGTAAAGATGAAGCGGTAAACAGTTTTTTAAGGTGCATGGAATACGCCACCAATTGCAGCTGTGACGTGGGTGGTAGCAACTAATATTTCAGCAGTGAAAGTAAAACGTCGTACAGCAATCCATCGGTTCGTTACCACACTTAACAGCAGCATGCAAAGAACCAATGGGCAGAAAAGGAGTGATATCAAAATAAAACCCAAGTGCACAGATGAAGATAACTTGAAACATCAAGGCTAGTGAAAATGTCCAGGATTTGGAAGACACCAAAGAGTGAGTACATCTACCTCATTGTGACCGATTTTCAGCAATATCACCACATACACACACTAATTCACACTAATTCATGTAATCTCGAGGACCCCAGTCAAACTTTCTACATCTCCTTATACTGCGTAGACAGACTGGCAGTCAAATACCTAACAGATATGCCGGTTTCTGGTCTAACTACCTTTGGCTTTTTTGCAACCAAATTATGGTTTGACTAACGCTGCTCATCGAGGCAGGTGGAAGTGGCTTGGTGTCCACAGCACATGTCCAAACCACCTTAGTGAAGGTTCACAGCTTCATCTATGAACTTGCATTCCTCGCGTAGCACAGTAGGCATAACCTCGACATTGGTTTCACCGTATGTGAGCAATACTGTGAAGATAATTGCCGTAAACTTCCTTTGACCTCATAGCATTTTTCTCCGTGTAAAAGAATATACTGGACTGTAGCTTAGTGTACGTGTCACTGAGTAGGCAGTCGAAAACCTTGCAGACACCAGAGGTGATGCAAGTTGACAAATGCCAAACGAACCTTATCTATCCCAGTTGAGATTCCTTCAGCAACCACCGCCTTTCGTTGGTGCAACTTCCTTACTGGGTGAAGTGGTCAGCTTGTTCCACTGCTTCACTTTCTACTTTTAAACTGACAGTAGCTGCAGACCGATTCTGGAGCATCATCTTACATTTGATAGGTGCGAGACGCATGCCAAACATACTCAGATTTCTGTTCAAGGTGTTCAGAAGACCCTGCATCCTATCAGCGTTTTCGCCTAGCAGGACAATGTCGTGTGTGTACTCCAAGTCAACCCCAGGTACCTTCCAGTGAGTAGACCAATCCGTGTCTAGCCAGAGGTACCTAAGGTTATGTTCAATAATACATTTCTATTGATATTAAACAGGTGATATCGGGTATGCCTGGCAAACATCACTGGTTGTCATCACTCTTCATAAGCCCTTATACGGCTGTGTTCTAGTTGAGTAGAGCTTTGATTAGTGTTGCATACTTGTTCGATACTTGTTTCACTGAGACACTGCTACACCACCTCTTGATCACCATAGTCAAATGCCGCCTTCAGGTCAAAAATATAGCAAGTAGTGTATGCCAGTGAGTATGCCTACTTTGGTGCGGGTCAGTTGAACTTCAGTGTGCTTATGACAGAGTACCCATCATCCATTTGAGCACCGAGGCTTTCGTGCTGTTTTTTGCGACCAGTGACGTGCAGGCATGCACGTCTCCATGCTAACACGTGGTCAGAGTCCGAATAGATACTGTAGAAAAAGCGGTAGTCCTTCACTGATCTCCATCTTTGGCTCATAGCAATATGATATCTCCCTGTCCATCTTTGGTTTGATTTCAGCGTACACCAAGTGAGGCACTGTATAGCTGTATGCCTGAAGTTAGCACTGGCCAGAAACAAGTAATTGTTGGAACAAAATTGCAACGGACAATCACTGTTGTCATTTCATGGGGAAGGTATTCCGTAGATACCTTCAAGAAGCCTTTCCAACCTGCTCACCTTTCCTACTTGAAGGTTAAAGTCACTTGGTGTTGGAATCACATATGAACGTCTTGCTTTCTACAGCGAAACTAACAGCTTTTGATGGAATTCATCCTTTGCACCACCCAAATTGTAGTCAGTGGGACGTAGGTAAAGAATATGAATTGACGTCGGCTAGTCTCACAATCCTTTCTAGTTTTCACAGATCCATTCACCGGAACAGGATACAGTAGCCGTTGACTAGTATCTAGTTGAAAAATACGATTTCTTCTCGAAAACAATGCTGTGCCTACACCAGCAGGTCGACGACAGCTAGCGATTGAATCTCTGGACCCTCAGGGTGAATCTGGGAGATTCACCGCACTAATCAGGTGAGACTAACTTAATAACCTTACTCGAGTCCCGTGTTCCAGAAACGCAGCATGCTTCGATGGCCTTAGATTCCAGAGTTCTTAAGAGCATAGGCTTCGAACACTGATAGGTGTAATGTGAAACTGAAAGCGGGGTTTGAAGAGAGTAGGAATAGTGTTTCACTGGTTTAAATCGTTAACAGTGATCATAAGGTGAGTGGTTGAGGAAGTTATAAGAGGCTTTATGTGGGTGTCAGGATGTGAAGGCAAGAAAGGGGGTGGAGGTAAGAAGAGTAAGTTCCATTTGATTAGGTTTTTTATACTAGTGAAGACTTGAAAGCAGTTGGTACTTCCTAACTCCCACACCAGTGAAGCTTATTCTATAAGGTACATATACGAGAAAAAGGGACAGATTTGCATGACCATAGGACCGACGTGACGTTTACTTGAGACCTAGAACACAGTTATTTGAAGATTATTGATCTGACATTTGATGACGATCCTAACGCTGGATGGAAAAAACACCACTGGCCACAAAATACTACTTTTTGGCCAAACTTTTTAATTCTTCTTCCCTTAGGGAAGGCAGCATCAGTATGTTATTGCTTGTTATCCACAGGAAACAACTTACTGCTGTCACCTCTTCCAGCAAGCAGTGCAACTTCACTCTCGAACCGTTTGTCTCATCACTATTCAACAGACTCTTCTGGTATGGTTGGATATGAAGGAACAAGCGTTCCAGCCAGTGTTGCTCATTGAGTTATTGTGATATGCAAGCCACTGAGGCTCATGTCTCAATGACTTGAACACTTGTTATATGTGCTTTTTTGGTATCCTTCACATTATTCTTTATTAGTGATACATTTTGGAAAGTTATGTTCGAGTTATTCCCTTTCTTTTTTGCTGTAGCTGGAGTATGAGTTAAATCTGAGGCATCACAGAAAGGAGAGAAGATACGATAGGTAAGTCATAGGATTTTAAGCCTTAGCTATCAGAAACTTTATTCCGTTTTTATCCTTTACTATGATTGGTCGCGTATCTATGAGAACAGTTTTAATGGTAATTATTTGTGTCCATGTAAATAAGAATCAGAATTTTAATGTGTTAATAGTGTGCTACTGGATTACACGACGCTTTTCATAGTTGATTTATCATACCACTGATTATTCCTGATAGCATGTCACTAGCATGAACCATTGTTAAGTTTTTGCCTTCCCACCTATCGGCTACTTATTTGTATGTTAAAATTGGCCGATAAAACATTTTCGCAAGGTACAAATTTAAAGCAAACATGGAAGGTAAAAGAGATAGCAGGACAGGGCAAATACTTGTGTTAATAATTTAAAGAACTCCATAGTTTGTTCAGAAAAACAATAATTTGAGCACACACTTATTTTCAATAACTTCTTCAGACTCCACAGTTATAAATCCATGATAATAAGTGAAATACAATAGCCAAAATAAGGCATGATGTACAATTTTTACTATGTTGAAACAGTCAGTGTTATGGGTGAATAAAGATCAAATCGAATGATGGAATGGTGGAATTGTCAGTGTAGTGTGTTAGTTGTGCAATGAAATCAATAATAACAGAACAGTTACAAAATGAGGAGACAAAATGTACAGATAATGATTCATTTATATACATTTTTGGGGGCATGAATGTGTGTGTGTTTGTTAACCAAGGGTCAAATAATAATTATATAGTGATAAATTACATTCAAGTTAGATGAAAATCATGTGAAAACTATAACAAAATAGAGGATAACAAATGTGAAGTGTTATGTCACATTTGAAGGCGACTACCGGTTGTGGTATGAATAGAGAGGGGTGTAAAACTAATAATAAGAAAATAATTGTTTATCAGTGTAATGACAATGTAGAAGAAAAGGATGGGGGTTAGACTGCAATTTGTGGTAGGAAAGTTCATAAAGAAGGTGACGACCCTATTGTGAGCCAAGGTGAACAAAGTGGATGTACATATGTCTTTTCTTCTTGCGTTGATCCTTATGGCTTCGGCTATGGATGAAATGCAAAGTCTTGCACCTTTAGGGAAATTGCCAAGTAAACAGTATATCCCAGAAAAGGCGTGATCTACCTTAATCTGATGTCCGGTATCCGCTAGATGTGAGAGGATTGGACTGTTGGTGCTCTTTGTCATTCATTTCCCTAAGCAACATGGTACATTTTCACGAGGGCGCGTGGATAGAGCCTTTTGAGTATGGTCTATATAATAACAGGAGCAGTTGAACTTATAAATGCACACTAAAGTGGCCATTATAGGTAACCTATCACTGGTTCGCTGTGTCGGTAATTGGTTAGTTGAGAAACTGACAAAAAGTTTCGCTGCATTGAATATCTTTTCGACTGATCTACTTAATCTATGTGTTAGGATATCCGAGGCAATCTCACGTTTGAAACTCAGTCGAAGATATATAGGTTTCTTAGCAACATTGTCTTTCTTTATCTTCTCTCTAGGTTTAGTGGATACCTATTTTGCTGCAATGTTATCTTCAGCTAGTTGATTTCTTTTTCAATACAGTCATCAGAACAAATATTTCTTATTCTGTAACTCAGGCATTTGACCAGGTTTCTTTTATATTGAATAGGTGTGAAACTATGAAAGTGAATATATTGACAAATCCATGTGTTCTTTCGAAAAATATCCCTTTTAATATACCCATCTGTTTTCCTGGTGAGGAGGACATCTAGGAAATGAATACTATTCTCTTGTCCTTCCTCGCAGGTGAACTTCATAGCTGGGTGAACATTATTGAAGGTATTCAAAAGATCGTCTTTATCGTAGGCATTATTACCTTCATTAATATTCTAGTTTATCAAGTTTGTCCCTAAGTACGCCGTTTTCAAGTTTGGCCAAAAAGATGTCCGCTAGCATAGGACCCGGAGTAGAGCTCATTGCAACCCTATCTACTTATCGATATAATTTGTTGTGAAACCTGAAGTGAACATTCATGGTGCGTTTTACTAGCAATTCCTTAACTCTTTCATCTGGGATTCATACGTCTATCTGTCGTTCTCTTAATTGATCGCAAATGTAGTTAACTGTTTCTATAAGCGGAACATTCGTAAATAATGATGTTATATCCAATGAAATCATCCTCTTGTCTCCAACATTCATATTTTTACATGTCCTATGAAGCTGAATGTTTTACACTGAATCTCACTAATCCACGATGTAGAGGCTCTGTCGCTCATACTAACCATTTTGCTGTTGATTGATACGGAGAATTCACCATATTTAGAATTGGACGTAGTGGAGTTCGGGGCTTGTGAACGTTTGGTAAGCCATTTGAGACATTTGTTACATTAAAACCCTCAGGCACACATATACCTAGACTGTATGGGATGACATGGCATATTCAGTAAGGCAGACAGACAAGATCAACATAGGATCAGGTATAATGGCGTAACTGCCCAACTTACCACTCCTTATATCAACACATCAATAAAGAAAACACTAAGGTGAAAAATCTAGAAATAGCGAAGAAAGCATTTAGTGGTAGAAAGTCGTGATAAGATAACATGCAGGAATACTGAATTCAGTATGACGATTAGGATGAAGATAGTGCATAGATGCATCTGCGTCACTAACATTGATTCTGAGTCATATCAAAATCTCCAACCACTGGTTTCTATTATTATGCTGCCCTTCAACTGGGAAATTAACATTTTCGTACATCGCTCAGACTGAAAGTGAAAGCTTCGAGCACTGATGTCGTTTTTTAGTCTTGGGGTTCCTAGACGTTTGCCAACTGGAATCTACATCTGCCAAAATTGTGCGGCTAGGAAAACAGTGGCTAGACATGTGTAACACATCTCAGCCACCTAAGTCGATGAGGCTTCACAACCTCACAAACTGAATTCCTTCTGCTCCCTAAAACTCTACTCCTGATTGTTTCATTACTGATGCGTTGACACCACCACATGGCCTATGTTATGAAGACAACGGTGGTTAAATACCTAAAGCCTTCTCATGTCCTCTACCTTTAATTGCCATGTTTCACAGTCACACTGAGGTGTAATATACTCGACACTTTATAGACAATCGGATATCACGGCGGCACCATAAATGTCAGAAGTTGCTGAAGGTTAAGTGACTTTTGTATCGCTGTAGAGATTTCCTCGGTGAGCAACCAACCAGGGCTGATCTGACCTCTTAAGTAAGTGAAATCGTCAACTCACTCAACTGCTTCGCTGCCTATTGTTAAACAGAGCACCACTAAAGACCAGTTCTGGAGCAACAAATTGAATTTACGTGGTGAGAAATGCATCCTAAATGTTGTTAACCTGTCACTCAAGGTATGCATGTCTGCATCTTGGCAGCTTCTTCACGTTACACGACTATTTTATCTGATAAGGATTCTCCTGTAGTCAGCTGAATCCCCGTAAAGTCGGACGATAAGATGGAGATTTCTCCAAGTATGTCAGTGGTAAATTCGAATAAGAATGGAGAGTGTGGACATCCTAGATGGACATCATTCTACCTACACAACTGCTGCACCTCCTTGTTTCAGGTTACTTACAGCCATCTGAACTACTGAAATAGTTGGAAGGTCTATCGGTGTTCCATTCAGACTCCAACTAGTTAGTTGGCAGTGAAATATTAGATGAAGGCCAGTTAAAATTTTCACCCTTCGACAGGTTTAGGAACGCAGACACACTTATCGAAGGCAAAGATGCCACATTTTTTGACCTGAGGGCGGCATTTGACTATGGTGATCAAGAGGTGGTGTAGCAGTGTCTCAGTGAAACAAGTATCGAACAAGTATGTAACACTAATCAAAGCTCTACTCAACTAGAACACACAGCCGTATAAGGGCTTATGAAGAGTGATGACAACCAGTGATGTTTGCCAGGCATACCCGATATCACCTGTTTAATATCAATAGAAATGTATTATTGAACATAACCTTAGGTACCTCTGGCTAGACACGGATTGGTCTACTCACTGGAAGGTACCTGGGGTTGACTTGGAGTACACACACGACATTGTCCTGCTAGGCGAAAACGCTGATAGGATGCAGGATCTTCTAAAAATCAATCGATGAAGTCTCTGACTGCTTGTCTGAGCCGTGTAGAGATATGTAGACTGTCCGGTTTTGGTCCCCAAGACGAAAGGAATCAGCGTTTAGGGATTCTTGTGACATGTCTAAAAATCGACCAAAATGGTGTAGATGTATTTACTCCTTGATGTATTCTGTATCTCGAATATTCGCACTAACCTTTATCTTCAAATCGTTAATTCTATTACAACTTTGTCTATTTTGATATCAGCTTGTTTCTCTCTGCCTGTTTTAAGTGTCCTACTGTGAAGTGTGGCAACTTGCGGTGATGCATTTGTGTGCTAGTTTTTAATTTGATTTTGTCTATTTGTCGTTTTGCGGGTGCCTGAGAAGGGAGTCCTTAGTAGTGGTAATGCATGGTCTCATAGCCTAGGGACCTCTTGAAGCCTCGTAGACCGCCTTTTGGGAATTTAGAGACTTAGATTGTGTTCAAGTTAAATAGAAATTCCATATCACCGGCACCGGAAGACTGCGGGCGTAGAGTTTTCAATTTTGATCTACATGTAAAAGTGTAGGCGTGTATACTGTAACCTTTCTGTCTAAAAGTAAATAGGTAGAATGGCTTTCAATTATTACAGTAATGATGAATAGAGGCTATCAGTGAAAGCTAGGATATGTGTTTCGTTGCATTCGGGGTTCGTCAACTACATTTTCTTGTCTGTTATGGTCGATCGATTTGATCTAAACAGCGACGGCTAACTGCAGGCTATGAAGTCATTGTTCAACAGTTGAAAGTTGATCATTAAGCCTCAGCTCAATATTAATCATAGTATAAGCCATTTATTGACTAATGGGCTCGTTAATATTATCATATTTATCATTGATTCAGTAGTTTCATAGCCCTTTTCCCTCCATACTTGTTACTTTAATATTTTTGTGTATTTGATATTTTAGAGCATTCGAAAAAGCGTATATTAGTGCACGAAATAACTCTGGTTATTTAATTATCGGTTTACTAATTCTAACAGCTGTTGGGATTTGGTATTTTTGTATCAGGCAAGTTTTAAGAATTCTTTGCTGTTTGTATGTCTTCTGTTTTTTCCCTATGCAATAAATGGGATGTCATTTTTAGGTTATTACTATCATTGTTTTATCAAAGGGGAGACGACGAGTTGGTCGTCCGAGAGTGATATGGAGGAAATGGTGTAAGGAAGAAATAAAAGCTTTTAGGCAGTCAAGAAGCCAAGTTCAAAAGACTGGAGAGAATAGAGTGAAATGGCGACGTGCTACTGAATCCCTTTGTTCCACTAGGAACCCAAATAATAAATAATCATTGTTTCATCACACCGTTGAAATGTTATGCGGTGCTTATTATTCTCAGTCTTGACATTGGTTTGTAGAGATTTATATATGAATCAACCAAGTTGTGGTAGGGAATACAGATGCTGATGTATAGATATTAGAAAGGGGGATAATGAGTTGACTGACGTTACTGAAGACAGCATGTTCAAAATGATACTTGAATGTCGTGAGTTTCATCACATGCTGTCAAGGGTGCTTATTCCTGTAGATTAGTTTGTAGACTTAGAATTAGTTTCTTAATGGGTTTTCGTATGATCATTTATTTAGAAAAGGTGGTGAATCTGATTCACTGGTTCTCTGTCAGTTGAAGTGGTTGGCACCTACGCACCATATCACTTCTTAAATGCAACAGCTCTATTATGTCATTATTATTGACTTCCTAACGGTCATTTGTATTTCTTTGTTTTGTTGGACAGATCATCTGGATTTCCATATGAACATGTGACAGAGTCAGATGGATCTTTCCCACACGGACCTCCTCCTTCATATGAAGAGACTATTTTAAATAGTAGGTGTTTATTACACAATAAATTATTTATCGTTATTACTATTGAAAATAGTGGTTAACTTAACTTCAAACTGAATATCACTTCAGTTTTTTCAGAGTTGCCATAGAAGTACATGTGAACTGGAATGGTTAGTTTTCTGCGTTGTTGCCAACTTTCCCCCATCACTAATTGTCATAATCGCTTAAATTTTAACCAGGTGGCCTCTATTTTACATTGGCTTAGATCACTAATCAGTAATCTTATTAGATTGATGTTTTTTTGGGTTGGTTTTAATACAGCTCCATCGAGTTCTTGTAAATATAGCTCATCGGAGTTAAGGATGGTTCAGCATACATAACATAAATCGTTAACCACCGTAATCGATACAACTTCAATATGACTTACCTTATGTACTCAATTTTGGTTTCAACCGAAAGTGTCCAACACCACGAAGACATCTGTTACCGAGAACCTATAGCCTCCTAAGATATCATTTATTCTGAAAGAGCTACAATGCTCATCCGACAAGGGGTTTCAGTATCTTATTGGGTTACTAGTATAGCTAAGCAGTGTCTTTAGATGTATTGATACAGATGTTTCGTTTTCCATCTTTGTATGACAGACAGACAAAATCAAGTAGACACATTTCACAGTAGTATACAAAAAAAGTGGATGAATTAGAAAACGTATCGAAAGTAGTGCATAAGGACCTAAATGCTGAGGGTTAAATAGTGAAACTAGTAGCCATCTATGTCGATGCTTTTTGGAGCAGGAGGATTACTGCCCAAGAGTTTTGGAGATCATTCTTAACGATGCACTTGTATCCAATACGTCACCTTTTGAAACAGCGATACTACTTATTTATTCTTCAACCGAATGTGTTTATACGACATTCGTAGTTTAGCCGACTGCATAACGAAATCCTCAGTGTTTTGAGTGGAGTTAAAACTATCTTCTTCTGAAGCTTTATTTTCTACTGAGTAAATTTGATTCCAGTAGCCGATGCAAGTTTTGCTGGTCTCATGGTGTAGTTATACAGTTACATCCATTGGTTCTGAATCTAATAGCGCGGATGATGATTGTCTACATTTATTGTTACCTATTGAAAGTGGAAGACATGAGAAGGTTACAGGTATTTGACCACCGTTGCCTTCGTAGTATAGGACGTATTCCGTGGTGTCACCATGTGAGTAATGCAGAAGTTAGGTGTAGAGTTTTAGGGAGAAGAGGTAAGTCAGTCGACGAGGTTGTGAACCTTCATCGACTGAGATGGTTGGGACACGTACTACGTATGCCTAGTCACCGATTGCCTCGTCACACAATGTTGGCTGAGGTGGGTTCAGGCTGGAAAAAGGCCCGAGGTGGCCAGACTAAAACATGGCACCAATGTATGAAGTCTCTGACTGTTGGTTTAAGCCATGTAGGACGATGCAGACTAAGTGGTTGGGGTCCACGGGACAAGAGGAACCAGTGGTTGGAGACCCTAGGTGATATGGCTCAGAACCGAAGTCAGTGGCGCAGATGTATACACACATTATCCTCATCTTAACAACGCTATACCGAATCTCACTATTTTGTCACTCCTCTTTCCTTTCTTCTCGTACTTTATATTTCCTTTGACTGCATTCACTTATCTTCATCCTTCACCTCACTACCTTTTACTTGATGTGCTGATATGAGTTGTGGCAACTCGGACCGTTACGCAGTAATGCCTGGTCCTATGTTGATAATGATGATGATGATGATGATGATGATGATGATTGTTACCTATAATTTACCGCTGAATCAACCGATTTCTCTCTATTTCTCTGTCCATTAGATGATGAAGATTACTTCACTAGACGCCGTTCACCTCCGTCTGCACCTCCGGAATATGGTTGGTCATCACATCTGATAAACACCTCCAGAGGTTCATCTCATTCACACTGGCGTAAAGCAGAGGACCAAACTTCCCACTCATGGTTATACAATGGTATTTCTGCTGGTGCAGGATTTTTAGGTGGCTACTTTATGGGGTCTAGATCAAGTAACAGTGCTGGATGCTCTCGACCTACTCGAGTTTGTACTGAGGAATCCTATGTTCGTAATGGAAATGTTTACACTGATCCACGGTATGAGTCGTCTACGCATTATCATCGTTCACGTACTCCATCACCTGAAACACATCTGTCATCGGGTAATTTTACACAGACCTTTTAATTAATCTGTCATATCAATAAAATGAGAGTTTTCACCACTTACAAATTTTGAATTTCTTTTCAAGAAATTTGGAACTAAGGCGAGTAAGCGACTTCTCAACAATAAACCAGGATTTGTCTGAAATACGATTCCATATTAATAAACAGTATTGAGTAATAAAATGCAAACCTCGAATCGTGAGGTATCTGAGTGTTTGTCGTTTTCAAAGCACTTGCAAATAGTGCATTAAGACCGTGAATGTCCAACCGACCAGAAGGGAATGTAAAATACGCGTGTTACCTCTCACGATGAGGTGAAGACTTAAGATAAACAAATGTTCAGTGTAAAATAGAACACCAGAGAGCGAAGAAGGAAATTACAAGACCATCATGAACTATAAAAGATACTGATATCTATGAAGGTAAAGTGGTGGACAAGATACAATTGAACAGAATAGACAGCAAAGACTGTAGATGAAGCAACACTTTAAGGGAACATAAACTATACTACTTAAAAACACTAAGTAGTATAAAACTGAAGATAAAATGTGGAAAGATGGGAATATGTCATAGGGTAGAGGAGAACGGGTAAGAAAGGAATCAACTTAAATGTATTAGTTGGTTTAATGACCTTAGTTAGATTCACTTAATTGCATAACTCTTCAAACCTGTATTTATTGTATTCTTTTTCCGTTTTTGTTTTGCATAATGTAGGTTTCGGAGGGACTTCGCGTAGATGACACACTCGTATGGAAATTATTTCAGCGTTTTCGGTGTGGCTGTATATTCATTACTTTCATTCATAGGACACTTCTGTGTATGCTTTTTTCGAGTCATCTGTATTTCCATCCCATATTTGTTCTCAGTATTAAATTTCGAGTTGTGGTTTTCCCTAACGAGAATAAAAAAGACATTCTTTTTCTACTGGTATTCTTGGCATATTGACTCGGACGGGCTTTCTATTGGATTACGCTATATGATCATTATCTCTGTTTATGCCTGTTCACTAGAAATATGTAAACAAACTGTACTGACCCAATTTGTGACTGAAAGTTAATAACCTACGATTGTTTTCATAATTTCTTTCCATAAAGTAAGCAATTTTATGGCCTGAAGCGATTATCTGAAGAGGTTTTCCAACTCTCTCGTTGACTGCCTACTTCCTTTCATTTGATTGGCCGGTTCTTATGGCTGATTGACAACTACAAAATCATGTATCATCAGATAGCTGTTTCCTTCTAGTCCTGAGACTTGGAATCAAGCACCGTTGACTGCATATGGAGTCTATCTGATTGGTAACTGTTGAGCTTATTAGCTAGCATATGGTTCTGATTGTATGATGCTTGACAAGTTGTGATATGTAGCACTGTCATCATTGTCGATTCTCCACTCATTTGTCACGTATTTTAATGAAATTCACAACATCATGAAATCTTTGTATGTATAGCTAGTGTGAGTACCAGTTTGTGGGGGGTTTTCATCTAGCCAATAGGTACATCGTTGGTGAGGAGAGCAGTGAGTAGAAGAGTATGCATAAATTGTGCGGTGAGAATCCACTTATCCATTTTGAGAATCTGAAAGAGAAAAGATGCGGGAAGTGTGCATCGAAGAATTAGGAAGTATATGGAATGTAATTTCGTTGAACAAAAAAAAGACGATCGGAAAACGTCAATACTGTATAAGGAGAAGGCGAGATAACCATAAAATCACAAGTGACAATTGAGTGAATAATGTTTTGAATGCATCATAACCAAGTCCGCGTAGCGTCATTGGTTTGGTGTAAGTTAGCGTGGCGGGTATCTGATTACCGGCGTTTAAGTCGCACACTTGAGTCAACTACTCATATTTTATCGACCAACAGTAGAAGTTCTGTATTCAGTACTGAGTACATTTACAATTGTTTTGACTGAACTTCATTTCGATACATTGCTGACGTGATTAACACTATAGTGACATTTGTAAATGTATTATACTTCCAAATCCACCTGTACTAGTTCTTCTAATTTGCTAGCCACAACCAACCAAATTACCATAAATGGTATATGTTTGAGGTGTTTTGAAAGAATTTACCAAACTTTGTTTTCTTGTCAATAAAGAGTCAACATAATTGTCTGACCAATCGCCAGTCGTTTTGGAAAGCTATTCACGTAGTAATCCGCGCGTGTGCTTCTGCCAGAATGGCGAGTAAGAGACTGTGAGTTAGTTTACCAGTGATAGTCCAAACATCCAACAGTAGAAACTGAAAGGAAAGCTAACAAACAACGTGAGCTGATGCTTCAGAAAACTCAAAGAATTTACCTACATTTAGTAACAAAAAATATATCAATAATTCACAACAACCCATTCTCTTATTCGAAACTAGAAAGTGGATGAGTAAGGCATTAAATGTGTTAAATTACCTGTCCAACTAACGAACTGTAGAAAATTGGATCTTACATGTAACCAGCCCATATTATTATGAGATAAGAAAAAAATAGTTGACCGCAGCTGGACAACAGTTTATAAGATTAGTGGGACTTCTTCTGAGAGATTACTGTGGAAAAAGTTGCAACAACTCAATCTTCCTTTCTTCCATTGCGTTGTAACCCCTCATTTATTTGCATGTGGGTGCACTAGAATATGAGTCTGCGGTTTGATGTATGGTGGTCCCAGTCAATGTTTTGCAGGGAAATGCAGGACCAAGACAGTTACGTGGAGAAGCGTTACTAACGTGAGGCCATTTACCTAAAACATGACAAAATGACTGTAATGAGGGGTAAGATGAATTCTAAGACAGATCGAACAGCTTAGTGGTAGTGCAAGGCGTTAGAGTCAGAAAATCTTTCAAGTTACGTCACATGGTACTTATAAATTTGTCAGTAGATTAAGATGTAGTCTTGAAAAATACTCGCTCTGTTATCTTTGCAAGAGTAGTTGATAACAGGTTTTCTTTCTGCACAAGCTTATTAACCATTGTTTCTTTCTGTTTGCTTTTCTCTGTAGTACATTTTCAGAAGGATAGACTCCGATCGGAGGCGGTTATTTCCGGTTAAGTTAACCGCATTTACCGGTTGCTGTTTAACTGAACTGCAGCCATCAGGTCCCATTTGTTGTGATCTAGCTTATATCGGTGTTACTGCTTAGATCCCTCGAAAAACCACAACAACTGTTGCAACTTATAGAACAACGTTGAAATTTTTAGGAAAATAAAGTGGTCACTCTTGTAAATAAGATACTGGTTGATGCATGAAATTGTAGCTCTTCTATAAATTTGACTTGATAGTTGGCCAATAGTCAAACCACTCTCTTGAATTTTGAGTGACCATACAACCATCATTGGGAAGATCTGTAGGCTATTGTTCAGGAGTACATCCATCGTTCACCGAACCATACTTTACTGTATGATTCTGTTGTATCAATGCCAATGTCATTATATGGGTAGATAAGTTGGGATTGGAAGCTCGTGATTTCACCATGCTAGTGTACCAGAATCAAGATCCAACTGGAGATTTAAAGTTGAGGGAACTATATGCTTGTAGGATATTACTGCTTGCCAACTACTGTGTATTACTGAGTTTAATGGAATATTTTCACAACAAGCAAACTATCATCTTGAATAGACCCATTCTTAACAGACTTTTTAAGACATTACCTAACCGGTTAAATACATTGTAAACCAACTCCGTTCAGGTATTTATATACCACACTATGAATCACACTCAGTTTGTGACCATATGTGAGTCCGAGATCCATCGCTTGGCACTGAATCTCTCAAGGCCCAGCTCCACTTGATCAGTCAAGCTTTTCCTTATATATTATCTGGTAAGATTAGCTCCATGTCAATTGATTTCAGATTGGTGGGGCCTTGCGTTCATTTTTAAAAGATTGACAGTCAGATAGTGTCATCAGCCTTCATACTATGAGTGCAACACATTGTCTACTGCACGAAAATGTACACGGTTACTGAGTGGATTTCGCACTGTGTGATAGCGTCAATAATGTTTATGACCAATGGAGCATGAGAGCTGCCTCTTATGCAACGGGTATCAGTTATTGCTCTTGATATCCATGTAGCAGAACAAATAATAATATTATTATCATTATATTATTTGTCCCTTAGGTTCCTAATGGAACATAGGGATGCAGTAGCACGTCTCCAGTTCACTCTGTTCTCTGCAAACTTTTGAACCTGGTTCCAAGACAGCCCATGAGCTCTCATTTCCTCCTCGCACGATCTCCTCCATGTCATCCTCGCCTCCGACACCTAACTCGTGCCTTCCCATCTGGGTTCCACTCGAAGACCTGGTCTGATGCGTGATGTCCCCAGTCGACCATCTCAGTGTATGCCCAATCCATCTTCACTTCCTTCTGCATATTTGTTCAGCCAAAGGCTCCTGGTTGATTCGTTGCCAGCCAGAGTTCCTTATTAGTTATTCTTTCTGGCCAACTGGTCTTTAGTAAGGAGCCGGCGTAGGCAGTTGTTGAGGAATATTTGTAGTCTGTTGGCAATGCTTTTCGTAACTCGCCAAGTCTCTGAACCATACAGAAGCACTGATATGACGATGGTGTTGAAAATCCGGATATTGAGGTAGAGAACTGACTGCCAATCGATACTCTATTCCATGATGATGCGGAGCGTTAGAATTTAATCCACACATGATTTGTACTTTCTGAAACCAGCCTGTTCCGGTCTTAGTTTTGGATCCAGAGTGTCCTTTAGGCTCTCCAGGATGATGCGGCATAATATTTTGCTTGGGGTAAACTGGAGAGTGATTCCGCGCCAGTTCTTGCAAGCACTGAGGTCTCACTTCTTCGGGAGTTTGACAAGGTAACCCTCCTTCCAGTCGCCAAGTACCTTCTCTTCCTCCCACCATTTCTGCGATAGTGGTGTGAGCATGTCTGCTGTTGTCCCTGTGTCTGTTCTCGGTGCTTCTTGCGGGATTCCATCTGGTCCTGCTGCTTTCCCGCATTTCAGTAGCTTTATGGCGCTCACGACTTCGACTTTCGTTGGAGGATATGTGTTCATTGGTAGTTCTGTGGCTGCTGGTGGTATTTCTGGACGAAGTGCAGGTGGCGGTCGATTCAAGAGCTTCTTGGGGTGGTCGGCCCATTGGTTCCTTTGTTTCTCTTCTTTCGTGATTAAATTTCCGTCATCATCTTTTTTGGTTTCGCCTGCGTTGATTTCTTCCCAGATAGCAACATGGTTATTTGATACAATGTTGTCATGTCTCTCTTACCTGCAGCCTCTTCTGCTTCACTTGCCAGTGTTTCGTAGAGGTGTCTTTTGTCTTTGCGCTCACTCTTCTTCACTTCTTTGTCCGGTGTAGTGTTCTATACATTGTACTCAGTTCGTCTTGTCGTTGAGCATCCTCGCACTGGTTTATCTTCTGCTTCACCATCCCCCTCTCCTCTATCAGCTTCCATGCATCCATCGAGATCCATTCCTTATCTTCTTTCTTCTCCCTTCCTAATAAGGCTGTGCAGGTTTCTTTCCACATCTCTTTCAAACACTTCCAGTGTTCTTCCACACAGGTTTCTTCGAGGATGTTCCTCGATATCTCCCATTCTGTCTTGATGGCTGCCGTGAAGATTTCCTTGCTAGTTTCATCCTTCAGTTTCCGAGTGTTGTACTTGAACTGTGGTCTATCACCAGCTTCCTTGAAGGCTTTCAACTTGATTTGGAGGGTTTCTTGCACTAGATAGTGGTCTGAACCTACATCTGCTCCTCTCCTTGACCGTGTGTCAAGTAGGCTGCGTCTCCACTTTCTTCAGATTGAGATGAAGTCGATCTGATTTTTAGTGTGTCCATCTGGTGAAGTCCATGTCGCTTTATGGATATCCTTGTGCTTGAACACAGTGCCTGACTACAATCACCGAATCGTTGAATGCACAGAATTCTGCAAACAATTCTCCATTCTCGCTGATTTCACCTAGCACTTCTCGG